TGGCAGATTTATAAAGGGATTATTTTTCTATGCATTCGAAAGCCATTTGACTGCATATAAAAATATGTATAAAAGATGTCTAACACTCCAATACAAACTGCAATGTAATTGGTGATCATGAGTAAAATTAACACACAAACCAAAAAAAGCACAAGATTAGTCCAATCATCTGCCTTCCAGAACCATGCTGTCCTCTGGGCTAGAAAGCACACAATTCAGGCCAGATTGTACTTTCAGAAACATTTCCCCTTTTAGCTGTTGATGTATCACAACTATCAGAATAACATTGAGCTTTGAAATAATCTGCTGATGTCATCGATTTTCAGGAGAGAAGGGAGGCTCCTCCCTCAGTGCTTGTGACTAAGGCTATCTGTGTGGAAACAGGCTCCTGGTTGCTAAGGAATCCATTGGCTCTTGGCTGTCTGTTTCCCACTCTATTTGAAGCCACAACCTTCTCTCTGCTTGAGATATCATCATTCATCTTCAGATCATAGTGTGCCACGCTACATAAAAAGAGGTTCTTACTTGAAACAGCTTTTAGAGATTCATATCAAGTGGAGGAAGAGCTGGAGTAACGGTTACATGACTAACCATTATAACCATACTTATAATATTATAACCATTATAACCATTATAACCATACTTATAATATTATAACCATTATAACCAGTATAACCATACTTATAATATTATAACCATTATAACCATATATAACCATACTTATAATATTATAACCATTATAACCATATATAACCATACTTATAATATTATACTTATAAAAGTATAATATTCATACATGTCAACAGTCTCTCTGGCAGTTTTTTTATTTTTATGTATTTATTTATTATTATTTTTTTGCGGTACGCGGGCCTCTCACTGTTGTGGCCCCTCACGTTGCGGAGTACAGGCTCCGGACATGCAGGCTCAGCGGCCATGGCTCACGGGCCCAGCTGCTCCACGGCATGTGGGATCTTCCCGGACCGGGGCACGAACCCATATCCCCTGCATCGGCAGGCGGACTCTCAACCACTGCGCCACCAGGGAAGCCCTCTGACAGTTTTTTTTAATGCAGCTTCTTTTTTTAATACCAAAGAATCTTATTAGGATTTTTTGTTTTCCCAAATTACTACAGTAATACATGTTCATTGTAACAAGGCAAATCATTCAGAGTTGTATGAAGTTCCATCACCTTCCCCCCTTCTCACTCCCACCCTGAGATAATCCACTTTACGCCCCTGTGATAACCCATTTTAAAACCTGATGTGTATCATTCCATGTTTTATTAATGTTTATACAGTCTTACACAAAAGTATACATACATAATAATCCCAGTTTTGTAGTACAACTTATTACAAGTCTAGGATAATCTTATATTGTTCTGTAATTTGCTTTTTAACTTAACTTTATTATCTTTCCAAGCCAATATACATAGTTTTGAATGGCTACACAGTATTGCATGGTATGAATATAAAATAATTTATACAACCGTTCCCTTGTTGATGAACAATCAGAGTCTCTACCAATTGTTTGCTATAACAATGCTACAGTTAACATATGGGTACATATTTCTCTATATATTTATGGGTTTTATTTCTATAGGATAGATGCCTACATGTGGGAGTGATGTGTCAAAGAAAATACACATTCTTACTCTAAAAAAATGTTGCCCAATTACTCTCCCAAAAGACAGAGCCAACAGTGTTAGTGTGTCTTCTTTACCTAAACTTTAATAATACTGGATGCTATCAACCTTTCTAAATACTGTCAAGTTAGTGGGTAAAAAACAATCATATTTTGTAATTTGTACTTCTGTGGGACCGGTTTAAATATTCAAATGTTATTTTGCTGTAGTTCTTATTAAAAGTTATATTCATCACCTATCAAGAGACAAGGTATTCTGTTTCTATACTACTTTTTAAAATCCTAAAGGGCATAAACCTTGTATACTATTTGCTTTGTAAATGTCCACAAAACTACAAATGTTAACTTACCTAGAAGATTTAACATTGCAGTTCTATTTTATGAGTTAAATTTTGGATATTATCAGAATTAAACTACAGGATCCTAATTTTTAATCATCTGAACTAAGTGTCAAGCTTAACAATCAAGAGGTTTTGCCAACCCTCTAACCCAGCTACAGCAGTCAAATTAACAAAATATTAACAACCAAGAGAGTAACCAAAATCAATAGATTATCCCTAAAGGGTGAAATGAGAGTGACAAGGGGACTCCTTTGAATTGGGGGACAGGCAGACTTATCTGAGATGGTAATAATTAAGACCTGAGTATCAAAAAAGAACCAGGTGCATGTGGATTAGGGAGAAGAGAGTACTAAGAAAGCATGGTTAAGGAATAGAAAGGACATGTGTCTAAAACATAGTGACTGTAGGAGAGACTAGCAGGATAGTAGGATGCACTGTAACACATGAGAGTGAAGCAGATTTGAAGATCGGAGGTAGGAATCAAGAATCTTGTTCAGGGCTTCCCTGGTGGCACAGTGGTTAAGAATCCGCCTGCCAACGCAGCGGACATGGGTTCAAGCTCTGGTCCGGGAAGATCCCACATGCCACGGAGCAACTAATCCTGTGCGCCACAACTATTGAGGCTGCGCTCTAGAGCCTGCGAGTCACAGCTACTGAAGCCTGTGAGCCTAGAGCCCGTGCGCCACAACTACTGAAGCCCATGCACCTAGAGTCCGAGCTCTGCAACAAAGAGAAGCCACTGAAATGAGAAGCCCGCGCACCGCAACGAGGAGTAGCCCCCGCTCACCGCAACTAGAGAAATCTCGCATGCAGCAACGAAGACCCAACGCAGCCGATAATAAATAAATTTTTTTTAAAGTTAATATATTAAAAAAAAAGAACCCTGTTCACACATGTGAAGTCTGAGGACTATTATATATCCAAGTGTATGAGAATAAGCAACCCAAGAAATGACTCCGGGTACAAGAAGGGGCCAGGTACAAAGATAAAGACTGAGGAGACACGCGTCAAGATGCCACTGAAAGCCACTGGATTCGATAAGATCACCTAGGGGTCATCCAGAGAAATGAAAAAAGTCAAAGGTTGCCTATACAGAGACATAAATCACAGTTAAGCACCAGATGTTCTTCAAAAATATAGTGGTATTACACCATGATTGAAAGATAGGACTCTGAAAATTAGATATAGCTAAAGTTTCAATATGCATTATTTTAACAAACCCTATACTGAGTTACTTATAAGGCACAATTTTGATATTAAAATGCCAATAATAGCCCCTAATGTATTTCTGTGAGTTCAAATATTCATGTGGGAGGTGGTGGCATTTTAAGTGAGTCATATTTAAGATATATAGACACAAAACATTCTGGCTTCATGAGAAAACACAGGTAACTATCTGTCACAAAACCTTAGGTGATGCACACACCATGTGGGGTAATAAAAGAAATTTTTAAAAACAATTTATTGTGTCAGACGGTAACTTAAAAACACATTTAAGTACTTTGATTCCCATGCCCTTGCGAATGAGCACCTCCTTAAATTTTACATCCCAGGTGCTTCCCTTGCCCCATCCTAGTCTCAGCCCAGTTGACCCCATTTACTTAGTCTAAAAACATGTTTTTCATTTATTCAAATGATTAAAATAATGAAGGTGCATATACCAAATAAAATGCTGACATCTAAAATAAAAAGTCCCAATTTAAGGTTCGAAGAAGGCTTGAAAATTTACAAATGCTATGACCTAACAAAAATGAATTTTAATCTCATAATTTATCTTACATCATGTAATTGGCTCCTGGAGGGTCACTTTTGAAAGTTAAGAAATAGTTCAACACTGTACATGATAAAAATCTAATGTATATATAATTTTCAGATCTCTTTACAAGTGTGCTTCCTTTTTCTGGCAATGAAAGTAACAGAAAGATAGACTTTATAAGGAAATTGAAACAAATACACCAAGAAAACCACTCAAAGATCAATTTTATTTTGAAGCCAGTAAAGAAGTACCAGGGATTTCCCAAGTAAGTAGCTGAAACTACCTGATGGCTTGGAAAAAAGTATTTGTATATTAAACACTAGTTAAATATCTTGATCCATGAATTAGCAATTTTAGCAGATAATCTATTTCCAGATTTGTTAGATGTATTATTTATAATAACATACAGGTATGTTATAAACATGGAATGTATAAAATCTTGAGTAAATTCCAAGTAATCAATACATAAGACTTCAGGAGTAATGACTTCATTCTAAAGGAAAATATAATAAACTGAATAAAGACCAACAGCAAAAAAAAAAATACAAAGTGTAAAACAAAATGGGCTTAAGAAAAATGCAGTTTGCTCAAGTAACAAAACCAGATAACTTTTAAAGATCATTCACATTCCTCAAGTTCTTATTGGCTCATTCATATAATTAGCTGTTTATAGAAAATTTGGCTTTCAATAACAGCTAAAAAGGTCTTATTTCAAAGTTGAGAAAAAAATTGTACTCTTTTTAAAAATTAAATATTTTCATTCCAAATGTACTGTAATTAAAATTAACTTTGTCACATCATTTTAAGTCAACTAAATAACCTTCATGATCTAAAAACTTAATTTCAAATTCCTGTCTGATATTTGGCAATAAATAAAAATAGCAAAGCCTATACTTTACTTTTCATAAAGAACTGAATGAAAACTTGAAAAGAGAGAGAATTAAGTACTGTATATTTATTCAACCATAGAAGAAACAGCTAGCACATTTTTAATGTCAGATATGTAGCTATCTCATCATTCAATATGGGCGAGATAAATAAAACTAAAAGAAATGTAGCTAAGATTAAAGAAATACACTCATTAGAAAATAAAACAATGATCAAAGTAATAGAATTCACACATAATTAAAGAGGAATGAGAGGCCATGGACAGAAAATGCCTGTAAGGACAGAAAACGTCGACAAATAAGAGGCACACTTATACTAAAGGCAATGTAATCATTATTAAATTCTGAGTTTGAAAGAAAAAGAGTCTTACTTACCTGAGGGAGGAACATACACAATATATAAAGCAAATAAGAACAAAAGAGAACTTCGCTTCCATTTCGAATGACAGCTCCACATTCGGCCTGAGTGAAACATCCTGTCATGGAAAAAAGCAACAGTCAGGACACTTAGATTCAGTAAAGCATTCGGTCAATAAAATCTGTAGGTTTCCAGCAGGTACTGGAAAATAGGAACCTTCAGATTCAGCCTTGCTTCCAAATAAAAAAAAGAAACTTTGAAGATGATAAACTAAGCATACCCTTTAAGCTAATCAGGCAAAAGAAAAAAATCCATGCATTTTATTTGCCACTTGGTGGCACCTTCCTTATCAACGAATATGTAATAGATGATTTCTTCATGAAGATGGGGAAGTATTCAGATAATACAAGAAAAAAATCACTTATAAAAAAAAAAAATTCGGCATCAACCTTCAGCATCACCAGTCACGTGCCCATCTGAGTAGCAAGAGGATGTTTTTATCAACCTCTACTATAATCTCCCAGAAATTTAGGCTATAGGGAAATGTTTTCATTTTATAACATCTGCTGCTTCACAAATGGAAATATTTAAAATAAAATTAAAATGCCCAAACTTTCTTCCTTCCCCTAAAACTAAGTACAGAAGCACTAACATTCTAAAAAGATTAATTTCTTTATATATAGTAATAGCTAACAAATTTTTTAAATGGCTAGTAAACACCAAGTATTATAGAAACTAATAAATGACATTAGATGGAGGGGTGCTGCTTTGAAAACTCTCAAATAATTCTCCGTACAAGAGTCTCATTTTTTTTTAAACATTTTTAAAATTTTATTTATTTATTTTTGGCTGTGTTGGGTCTTCGTTGATGCACGCGGGCTTTCTCTAGTTGTGGTGAGGGGAGCTACTCTTCGCTGCGGTGCGTGGACTTCCCATTGCTGTGGCTTCTGTTGTTGCAGAGCACCAGCTCTAGGCGCACAGGCTTCAGTTGTTGTGGCATGTGGGCTCAGTAGTTGTGCCTCGCAGGTTCAGTAGTTGTGGTGCACAGGCTTAGCTGCTCAGAGGCATGTGGGATCTTCCCGGACCAGGGATCAAACCCATGGCCCCTGCACCGGCAGGCAGATTCTTAACACTGCGCCACCAGGGAAGTCCAACAGTGTCATCTTTAAACTCAAAATTATACTTAATGATTTAGATGGGGACATACATATTATCTTGGCTTCAGACAGTGGTGTGATACTTTTCATTGACTCAGCCCTATCAAAAAAGGCAAACCACTGAAGGGGGCAGCAGCTGTAAAAGTCAGTCACAAAAAGGGACCACAAATGAACTGGTGAGCAGAAGAGTCATGAGGCAGGAAGAACAGGTGAGTAGCAGTAAGAAACCCCCAGATCTTAAAATCCCCAAAGAGAGTTACTTTGATTATAAGTGGTAATCGAGAATCATTTTATTTCTAAAAAGAGGAGCAACTAATAAGATACTTTAGGGCCACAGTAATACCTTTTTTCCTGAAGGTTGCTTATCTGGAATAAAATGTATAATACTAAATAGAAAACCAGAAAGTTGTAAGAGAAATACTTGAATAAGCAAAAATAGACATCAAACTGATTCTTGCAGTTGCCTTAAGCCTGCATTTTCAATCTGTCTTTTACTGTTAGAGACTACTTAAGTAACAAAGAGAACAAGATCTAGAGTCAGACAGAACTGGGTTTGCTACTTATGAACTATGCAACCCTTGGAAAATTGACTTCACCACCTTGTGCTTCCTAGTTTTCACCTGTAAAATAGGAACAATAGAATCTAGTCTATGGAGCAGCTGGATGATTAAATCAAATCATGTCATTTAAGAAATATGCCTAACATTCAGCAAGTACTCAGTAAGTATTAGCTATTTTTATTTTTACTACCATCCCAAGCATTCTAATATAAGTGTGGTTATTCTGTCAACAGCAAAACCAAAAGAAAGGACTGAACCAGGAACAGACAACAGGATCAATGTTATAAGCCAAAACCAATCTATTGACTTTGTGGCTACTTCTGGGATTCACTTAGAACAGAGAAGAAATGGATTATTCATGTATGCCATTATTACAGAAATTTAAAATAGTATCTGATATTCAGGACATGTTTTTATATATTCACCAAACTACAAGCTCCAGCATCATGCAGCTCCTAGGGGACTTTCTACATGAGAAAAAGGCTACGTTCTAAAGAGCATTTTTGCACAACATTGTCAATCAACTATACTCCAATAAAAATTTTTTAAAAACAATAATAATAGAGGATTCTTATATGGAAGGTATGTTTTCAAATATATCCATCCAAAATATTTGAAATTAAAATCAGTGTTACTGTTTACAAGAAGCAAGATGTTATAGTGAGTCATTAATAATAACATAATAATAATGGATGTGAACTCTGGAATAGCACGTAGTTACATCCTGGTGCTTCTGTTTACCGTGTGCTTTGGGGGCAGGGTCAAGTACTTAAACTCTGAGCCTATTTTCTCTTCTGTAAATAGAATATTATCCACCAAAAAGAACTAGATGTAACATTGCACGGAACTTAGTGAGTGCTTTAAAAAGGGTAGCCTGTAAACTTTTGTCACATGGAAAGTTCACTTTTTTGGAAGAATGGGTCCATTTCTCATTGATGCTGGATGAATGAGTTGCTTCCCATTTATGCTGGGGATGAATGAGTGTGCTTCTGAAACAAAAGAACAATTATATATTCAAAGAAGTTATCATCTGAAGGACCAAAGATGAAGTCTAACCTCCTCATTTCACTGAGGAGGAAACTGAGGCCCAGAGGAATAAAGGGGCAAACCAATGAAGCCTGGCTGCCAGCCTTATAGATATTAATAGAAAGAAGTATCAGCCCAGGAGAACTCCTAGCTTCTTAATCTTTGTGATGCATGACAATCCTCCGTTATCAATATGTTAATAGTGGCCTCCTCTTATGTTCCCGTGCTCTCTAAACAATACTCAGGGAATGATGTCCATTAGTTTGGTGACACTCAATACTATTTCATGTGCTGATGCAACTTTGTTTTGCTATAAAAGGTTCTGACACTTAGGAATTCCTTATTTACTCCTGAAGCTATTTTATAAAAGCTGCCTGCAATCCTATCAGACAAGAGCTGCAAAGGACAACCAAGGGCTCAATGCATTCCAGTTCTCAGGACTCCATCACTTTGTACAGAAAAGGAACCCAGGACAGGGCAAGAACTTGTAACCAACATAAACCATATGACACGCCACCTTTCATCCACTTTACTGAAGAACAGAAACAAATAAATTAAGAATAGAACATAGGAAGGAAAGCATTGTATGTCTTCTCAGGGGACCAATTAGCAAAGACACATCCCTGGGATTTAAACAACTTTCTCACAAGAATGGAAAATCCTGAACAGGGTTACTAAGGTTCTAAACAGGAACTACAAAAAATACAGTACAATTTTGTGTCACTCAAGTTGTGGCCTCAAAGTTCTATTGAAAAGAACAAGAATATTTTTTAAGTAGAAAGAGTCATAGACTTCTATAACCTGAAAAGAATCTAAAAGTTATGCAATAAAACCTATCATTTCACAGATGAAAAAACTATGATGTTAAACTACTTGCCCAAGATCACATAATCAGTGGTGTCAGAGCCAAAAAGACCCCCTGTGTCACCTGCCTTCCAACTCAACTGTCCTTTTTGAGAAACAAGCTACCTCTCTTGCAAACTCACTCTCCTTTTCAATGTATATAGGCTACAAGATACAGTATACTTAAATCCTGTGTCAGAAAGCTTTAGAATTCAACCCTTTTATAGGAATTGTTTTAAATGTCGATATGACTCCTTGTAGATGTCATTTAATCCAAATGCATTAAAGTCTAAAAAACTACTGTCTTCCATCTCTTTACTCCTACTGACTCCTCTAAAAGTCACAAAGAGAAATTAGTGAAGAAATTTTGAAATTGGTGGAGAAATTAACATGGTACTAATTCTCTTAATATCAGCAATAGTCAGAAATAACTTCATTTTCCATATACCAACTGTATTTCTATGGCAAATCTTTTCAGAAAGGGACATGAGGAGTAGCACAGAGCATACCTTAATTCTTCCAGAGTAAAAAAGAATGGTAATTTGGTTTATTCAAGCCTGCTTACAACTTTGTTTCATTTTCTGGTTAAAGATCATGTCCCTGAGCCTAAACAATGAATAAAAAGAGAAGTGCTATTCTATTACTCATTGTAACTTCTTTTATTAATTTGGGTTCACCCTCCCCCCACTTCAAAAAGGCGGAAAGATTTATTCTTCAAATCTGCACAAATCTTGACCCTTATTTGAGCTATAATGTACATAACTGGCTTTACCATAAATGAAATTAAAAGGTAATCGTGAGAAATACACACACACACACACACACACACACAAAATACACATAAAACTGGGAAAATCTGAAAAAGAGAGGTGTATTGTATCAATATTCTGGTTGTGATATTGTACTTTAGTTTTGCAAAATGTCACCATTGGGAGAAACTGGGTAAAGGGTACGTGGGCTGTCTCTGTATTATTTCTTAAAACTGCATGTGAATCAACAAATACCTCAATTAAAATTTCAATTAAAAAAGTAAACCCTGAAGCCCTGATGAATGTAAGTTACTTTCAGATGGTTCAGTAAAAAAATTGTGTGTGTGTGTGTGTGTGTGTGTGTGTGTGTGTGTGTGTGTACACGTACGTACAGACAGTGGAGGGGAGAAGAGAAGAAAAATGATAAAATGAATGGGGTAAATATTTACAATAAGTGTTTCTGTGTAAAGAGTATACAGCTGTTCTTTGTGTTATTTTTGCAACTTCTCTGTAGGTTTAAAACTATTTCTAAATAAAGTTAAATACACACATACACATTTACACTGAAGGGTATCAGTGTTCATCTGATGACACTTTCATCACTACTGAGTATTATTGCTTTAATCATTGCCAGTTTGATAGAAGAAATAATGTCTCATTTGGATTTCCTTTGTTCAGATTGGCATATTCAAGTCATTTGTATAGTTTTCCATTATAAATACTTTTCTTTCTAGTGATTTGTGATTTTTTTAACCAGTTCAATACTAAATATGTTAAGCCTTGGTCATATCTGCTATAAATGTTTTCAGTACAGCAATATTAAAGTTTTCCTTAAGGCATTCCAAATAATTTCATCCTGAGAAATGCTCATAAAGGAAAGTAAGATGACACTCAAGTAGCACACTCAAGTTTTATTGGCATTTTTACTTATGATTGAAATGTCCTTTAAATGTTATCACCCCAGTCACTCAGTGTGCTTCTTAATGTCACCCAATGTAGGTAATGTAATAATGTCATCCCATTAGAAATGAAGTGGAAAGATGTAGTTTTTGCCCAAGCATGCCACACACACTGTCTTTTCCTATTTAGTCTAAAGTCTAAATAGTTTCAAGAAATTTTTGATCATCCCATCAGAGATATAAACTCTTGTAAGACATGGGCAGTCAGAAAAATGGTTAGGTTTAAGGAAGTGGTTGTCAGTTTATTTTTAATATATAAACTGATTCTCTTTCAAATCATTATTTCCAGAAATCAGAGTGACATGTCTAGTTGGGCAGTAAAGCTACAAGCTTCTAATATTTCCCATAAGCCAAGAGACAATAGCCTCATTCACCATTCACACTGGAAAAGCACAATGTCATGTAATTTATATAAGCCATAAATGGAACAGTAGCTTCATGCAGCTTGAGACCAATTAATGCAAGTCTTGCTAAATCTATTAAATTTCTTAGGGTATGAAAAATATGCAGTCACTACAACTCCAAAGTATATTTATAAAGTCTGTAATTCCAGAACTTGAGTGTAACAATATATACTCTATCCACAGGAGTAGGCAGAAAATATACTTGAATAATTTGTGTATTTGAATCTATCAAAATTAAAATTTAAAAGATAGATAATATAGTTTATGTTTCCCTTTTGAACGTTTTTCAACAAGATAGTAGGAATCTTTACCTTGGAAAGGTTGGTATTACTTCCATATACTCTAACATACTAATATCTAAAAAGAATCAGATAATCTTAAACCATTCCATATGAATTATAAACAGCAAAAGGGAAAAAAGAAACAGTTATAATCTGGCAAAAAATGGAAAAACTTTCTGTCAAAATAGCTCAATAAAGAAACTCAAATCAGGGTATTAAACTCCATAATTTTATGTGATTAAATATTCATGCTTTTACTATATAATGACATAAGATTGTTTTAATCATACAGAATTCAAATGGACTATATAACTTAATTTCAGTCAGAAAATTTTTACATCACTTGTTGATCAGTTTCACATCTTTTATTTTAAAACCTGGTATTCATATTTTCTTCATGTGTAATGTAGTTTTTTCCCCATAAGATTTAAATCACCTAGGAAAGCGGAAAGGAAGCTAGACAAATATCTGCTTTTAAAAACCTTACTATATTTTCAGAAAAAACAGAAGTTTAAAACACACATTCATTCAAAATGTGTTGCCTGTATATGAGAACAAGTTTTATATGAGACTGTTGGCTGTATCCCAAAATAAATTCTTTCAGGTTATACCTTGCTAATTCCACTGGGTAAATGGAACTTTAAAACTCACAGGTGTGGAATTACTTCACATGCAGTTTAATAAAAATAAGTGGTTCCTTTCTAATTATACTGCTCACTACCAGGAACAGAGCTGCCAAGTGCTAGGCTTCTGGGCACTAACCCTTTTTCCTATTTTGAAAATGTGTGCTGGAGGGAGGGAGGCAGACGGTGCAAGGAATGGACAAAGGCCTGAGGGGCTTGTCTCTTCCCGGGTATTACACTGAAAGAGGAAATTTACGTGGAAATAAATAAGGCTCCAGAAGGTGGGGGAGGGAGGGCGAATATCAATTTCTAGAAACTCTTGTATATTAGTGGGAGTAAAATGTCTGTCGGGGTGTCTGCCCAAGATTTAACAAAACACCAGAGGGAAAATTATATATTACAAGAAAAGGTAACTTCTGAGTTGGCCACAATAATAAGCTTGGTCCTTCAGAGAACAACCTTCCTTTTTCCATTCTGGAAGGCTAGGGGGTGCTCGGTGGCCCTTCTGCAGGGTCGCTCTGAGGTACCTCACCACTTGGATGACAATTCCAGAGGCAAAACCCATTAGGTTTCTCTAAGCGTTTCATCGCCCTATACTCCCCACTTCAACTTCTATATAAGACCCTTCACAGATACTATCACGTTCAATGGCATCTTCTTTAATTACTTTTTAATCTACAAAGTACACCGTGAACCTTTTCTGCGCGCTTTTTTTTTTTTTTAAAAAAAACCATTCAAATAACCCAAAGATCCAAGAATAACTTCTACAGTCAAGGGTGGCAATGTGTAAAGTCAACATTTTCTCGGCATACTAGTACCTTCCAAGCCCCCAGGTGCTGATCCAGGAGAGCGGCTTCTTGGCAGGGCGAGGCCCCTGGATGGAGCAGCCACGCGGGTGACTCCTTGTTTAATTTGAATCCAAAACCTTTTCCCCATTCTTGAAGCCCTGCCCTCTTTATTATGCTTTACGCCGCCCAAACGTGAGGTTTACCTCTCGCTGGAAAAAAGCCAGCGGCACACACATGTCACAGCTCCGGCAGGCAGCAGCAGCAGCTCACCCCTCAGTGCCTCGAGGGGCCAAGGGAAGACAAACCGGTTTATTCCGTCACTGCGGGTGAAGTCCTTACAAAGCCCCTGGGGTGGGGCAGGGGGAGGCACAGGTAAAGGTGTGAAGGAATTCTGTGCTGAAAGGGGGGACTTACATGTCGGCATCACTGCGCTGAGGTCCCCAGGGGCCGCGCGGTCATGCTCCACCACCTTCCCCGGCTCTGCTGCTCCGAGTTCCCCGATGGAGCCGCCCGGGCGCCTGGGCCGAGCGCGGCGGCCGAAGCCTTCTTCACGCTCTTTCTGGAGAGGTCATCGGGGCTTCCCGACAGCCGCTCCTAGCCGGCGCTCGGCGTGGCGCAAGGTGGACGGCCGGCTCCGCGGAGTTCAAGTGCGGATCGCTGCGGCCAGGGGGCGGGCGGGGCGGCAGGTTCCTCCTTACAGAGAAGTTGGAGGAAAGTTAGGGCGAGAACGTTGAAGCTTAGCGGCTGGGTCTGCCTTCGAGCTGGTGCTGGGTGCTCGGGGTACCCCGGGTGCTCCCAGGGCGGTGGGCGGGTGGGTGAAGGGGTCCGTTTCCGTAGGTCCTCGGCCCTGCTGGCGCGCGGCGGCACGTGGTCACCCCCTTTGTGCCTCTCGTTTTCCCCCTCCCCCGCCGCGGGCTCGGGCTGTTCCCGGGGCCCGTCCACCCGGCCCGCGCTTACGGAGCCGAGGCTCTGCCCGGGCAGCGGGCTCAGGTGCTGCTGCCCTGGCGGCGCGCGGCGTCTGGCTGGGCCCCGCGCGGCCCTGAGGAGGCCCCAGCCTCGGTGCTCGGCGGCGGGGACCGTCCCGTGGGCGCAGCCGCTCCACCCAGGATCCCGCCCCGGGGCAGGAGGGAGAAGTCTCGCTGCGGGTTGGGAGAGGCGCTCCCCAGACTGGCAGCGAGGGTCAAGCTGCGGGGGCCGGAGGGAGTGGGAGACTGGCTCCGGACCCGGCGCGGCTGCCAGCCGGGGGAGGGGGCGGGGCGGGGCAGACCCGGAGGTCACCCGAAAGCCGGGCGCTCTGAATCCGCGAGACCCTCCTCTCGAGAAATGAGCAGCTCGGAACGCCCGCGGGGATGTGGGCACCTTCTCCTTGCTCGCCGGGTGCTGCGCTGCCAGCCCAGCTGGGTCTGCGCGGGACCCCTCCGCCAGGTTCCCGGGCCACTGCCTTGCTTTTCTTTTACTTTTCAGTCGATTTTTTTTTTTCTCCTCCTTCCTTTTCTTACATCTCTCTCCCCCCTCTCCCTTCTTTTGTTCTTTTTCTTTCTAATAATCAGAGTGAAGTGAGAACCGTCTGTCTTCACAGCACACTCAGACCCCCGCATACCATCACCACATCTCTTGGTCTCTGCTGGGGTACAGGGGGTGAGAGTCCCTCAGCCCCCCTTCTCCAACCAAGGATGAAGACCAGCCTTAAGACGAGGTTGAGCAGGTGGCAGTCGCCATACACCTATGCTTACCACCGCGCCTTCCACAGAAATACACCCACTATCTTCTCCCACTGATTTGTTGACACGTGTAGTTCCATTCTTTTTTCTTAGAATTTTGTCTTCTGTTGAAATACATCTAAGTACCCCAAGGAGTGGAAACACTTTAAAGCTTTGCCATTGCCCTTGGTTTGGATTGTTCAAATCGCTTCTGGAAAGAAGCATTTGTGCTGTGGTATGAGGTGGAAACAGCCTGAGAAGTCTGAAAGTGGGTGCAGAGGGATTCAGTGAAAGCCAAAACTTGGCAGGACTAGTAACAAACTGCTTGCTCCACAATTTGGCCTGGGATCCTCCTCCTTCAACCCTCTCCTGCTGCTTCACTGGGACTCTGGGATAGGACTAGATAAGTCATGCTTCCTTTTAAAATCTGCACCACTTTAAAAAAAAAAAAAGAAGGGATATTAACATGGGGCTGAGTAGATATTCACATAACATTCAGCAGG